CGATTGAATTTAAATCCAAATAAAGTGAACGAGCATGTAAAATGGAAAACAAAGAAGTAAAATTGTAAAAATCTTTCTGAAATGAGGAATTTTTGTAGGAAACACTTGTATTCTTTTTTGTAGATGGAAATAACTCAATCGGCAAATCAAAATGGCCATGGGAAATGGAATAGTAAAAATGTTGCACTAAACAAGTTCTATGGAAATTATTCGTACGAAATTGTATTCTGTGCTACATGTAAAAAAAAAGTGCACAATATACAATTCTTCTTTCAGAAAAGCATGAAATTTTGGTACAGTAAACGTTACAGAGTTCAAATAAATATTACTATAGACATGCGAATAGTTAGACGCCTCATTGCTATCGCTAGTATGGGACATCATAATTTTTATTATTCAATTCTGTCCGTGAAGACACCTTCCTTCATGCATTTAACAGAGATCTGACGGTTACAACAGCGCTTCGAAGTTTCTATAACTTGGGTATTCTTTCATTTAGTGATGAATATCCTTTTGGGCTTTGGAACCAGCATACAGTCTCGAGACCAAATTCATGAATTACCGCCATTTCTTCCTCGTAGGATGAAAATAAAGAAAAGAAGTTCAAATTCAATACACCATGGTTCATATTTATTTTCCTTTTCCATATTTCTTATATTGAATGTCCCATTCTTTGTTAATCTCCATTTGTCCTCTTCTGCCCCATAAAATCAAAAGCCCAGTTTTCAATTAGGAGTTGGGTACAACTTGAGTGAAAGTAACTCATTAGCGGAAACACAACGACGAGTTTCGTTGATAACAACGAAATAAGAGTTAAAATAAAAAATAAAATAGAAAATATGAGCAGACGAGTGAAAAAACGGCGTTTGAGCAATGGATTTACAAAATTTTAACTGATTTTTTTTCTGAAAATAATTATTCTTGAGAAATATGTGCCAGAAATTCTTCTACAAATTATTTACTATCATTTGTTATGAATAATTGCTGGAGAAGTGGGCGCTAATCCTAATATATGCTAAAGAAGCTGAAGGGATATTATCGTATCGGTCAAACTGATATCTTTGAAAACCCATTTTTCCATTCGATGATAAACCTCACATCTGCTTTTGAATGCCACTCAACAAATGTTTTCACATCTGTAATCAAGGAATCCCTGAAAAAACATCCCGGAAAAAATATCCCCGGAAAAATTAGCCCCAAGAAAAATTCTAATATTCAATTCCTAATAATAAATATTTAAAAAATCCTAATTTTAATAATTTAATTAATAAAAATTATTTAATATAAAGGATAAAAGGGAAGCAGGTGAATCACAAAATGCATTTTAGAAAAAAATTTCTTTATTTATTATGACACATAAAAAGGTTAAGGGTTCGATTCCCCATGAAATTAAATCATCTTTTTTCTTCTCAAATTTTCATTTAATGTATTAGCCGGGGGTGGGAGGGGGCTTCGCCGCCCCCCC